CTTTATTAAAAACCTTGTTTTGTCTAAAAACCCAACTAAGATCTTTTAATCTTAAAAAAAGAAAAATAAGTATTTCTATTAAAAACTGTTTCTATTTAGCAGTTTAAAATTTAAAAAAGGCTTTTTTTTCTTTACCTAGTTCAAAAAGTTGTTATTAAGTCAGCTCCTCTTAAATTAAAGATTATTAGAGATTATTAGAGATTATTTTTGAAGTTAGCTTTCTAGCACCTCTTCGAAGCTAAAAATGATGTTTGTTAAGGATAGTTACTTGTGTAATGTTACGTTCTCAAAAAGTACTATAAACTATATAAATAAGTTACCTGGTCAATTGATTTGCATTAGCCAATTAGACGAATTTCTGCCTATGAGGGACAGTAGGGACAGAGTAAATCATATGATCTTACGGACAGCATATATAAATATGCATAAGTGAAACAATTTTACTTTTTCTGTAAATTTTATTTCTTTCATATAAGCTTATCAAATACTACATGTATATTCCATATATTTTATATTCCTTATCTTTAACTGTGTATAGTCTTAGATGCATAAAATTGGTATAATCAAATATATAACTAAGATACGTATTTATGAAATTATTCTGAATTCAAGTATTTTGTAATGAAACTTAAATATAGCTAATACATAATTATTTTTTCTTGATCAGTTTTGCTAGTCGAACCGCTTATTGAAAGAAATTGAGTAATATGATCTTGAATCAATAACTTCTAGCGTATTGTAGCTAAAGTAGCAAATTGGGACCATCGATTAACAATTGGTAGAACAGGTGTACCAGGTCTCAATACTAGTGCCACATAATGATTTTCATTAACAAAAGCCATTGCAAGAGCTTCGTTTCAGTTCAAGGGATAGTGATATGGAAGAAATGTAAAGCTTATTTGTAATGAGAAAAAGTATAATAGTCTTTGGTAGGTATTTGCTATAACATCACCTATTTGTGGCATTCTCATCCAGTGTTCGAATGTACAAGGACCACTCTCCCAAGAAATCTCCTTTACAATCATATCATAATCATTATTAGCTAGAAATAATATTCAGTAAAATTGCTTCTTTTCATTTAATTCATTCAATAATTCCTTTCTTATCTCTGGCCACTTATTTTCATTTCTTCCTAAACACATGGCTACTACTTTATACCCGCAATTGCTATCTTCATTTATATTAATCACTTCTTTTATATATTCATGCATATAAGCAGGTATTTGATCATAAAATAAAGGTTGTTGTATATGTTGTGGACTTTTTATAAGTTTTGTTTCTGTTTTTTTTTGTATTTTTTTCTTTTACATTTTTTTTTTTTTTTGTAGTTTTTTCTTTTTTTTATAGCAGCTTTATCTTGAATTTCACTGAGAAGAGGGTCTCACTTAGTAGATGTTGAATGTTTCTTTTTAGGTGCATTAGGCAACGATGCCTTTAGAATAACAATTTCTTCACTAGCTAGTGCCTCGATCTTATGCAAAAACGTGGCCTTTGACCCACTATCATTTAGATTTTCATATTTTTCTTCGAGCTTATATAAAATCTTAGTAATAGTAAAGTCAGTTGATAGTGATGGTGGTAACAAGAGTATTGTATCATGTTTCAAATACCAGCAAGAATGCACAAGAGCAAGTGGAATAGGTCCTGTCTGTGGAATTATGTAACGGCATGGTAATTTATAATTTAATCTTAAGCTACAATCACAAGGGCTATTATCTGTATTTTTATTCTCTCCTATTTCACATACTTCATTTTTAATTTTATCGATTGCCTATTTAGAAATTTTTTCAAGCAACAACTCAAATCTCATATTATTACATATAAATGGATCAGCAAAAATAATATTCAAACCAAAGGTTCTATTTGTTTATAGCTGGCGCTAATGGAAGGCACGGTCAATATGTAAAAAGACTTGTTCCAAATCACTTGCTGCCTCGATTGCTTTTTTTAAAGCACTATGACTTCCTTCTGCTCGCTGTGTCGACTGAATCCTCATATGTGGATAATTTTTAATAAATATATGTATCCAATATTCGGCATCATTTTTCTATTTCTTAAAATAAGTTTGAATATATTTTGGGTCTTTACTTTTCATTGCTGCTTTATTAACCTCATTAAATGCCTTTTTAACCTCATTCATTTTCTCAGCATAAGCAACTTTTTGGATCGATAATAGAAGTTCATTGTAATCTTCATTAGAGTTAAAGAATTTTCTACACGCAGTTCGTAAGTTTTGCGCAAGCATATGCTATATGCATATCATTTTTTTTGCTTCCGGGAAAACCTTGTCTGCTGCCTTTCAAAGAGCTAAGGCTCTATCTAAAATAAAACCTCTGGAGAACAAAAAAAAAGATCATAGATCATCTCTTTTAAAGTAAGTAAAAACTATTCGTATGTGAGTTTTTGCTTATTTGATACCCATGCCATTGCAATAGTATATGTATTAAGAGCTTTGGAGTCACCGACATTACTAACACTTACAGTATTTATAAGAGAAAGCTTATATATATTGGTCTTATATGTTGCATTAACTATAAGCACATCTGGGCATATTGCTACCTGACGTGCTGCTTTATTATGTGTAAAAAATAAGTTTAACATGTGGCTATCTTTTGTTAATACATGACGAACTATATACTGACGTTTATCCAACATTTGTAAAAAGTGCACTGTAGTATCACGATTTGTATCCTCATTTAAAGCATTTTTTATTCAATTACGTTCATTCATTATATCTTTTGTATATATAGTACTATTCTTCTAGTATATTGTATCAGCAATTGACTGAGTTGATACATCACTCTTAAGCATAATATGAACCAACTCTTTTTGTTCTGTACTGAGGCTCCGATGTTGAGGAAGACAATGAACTTGGGATAGAAGAAGTAGTTCATAATTATGCTCAGTTTTGGAAGATTTTATTATCCAAACTTTAGTATCCTCATTTAAGATAGCTCGTAACATAACAAAGCAATTTTGATGCTTTGTGAACTTCTTTCTTTTTCAAGTTTCTTCAGTGATGTTATGGTTATTTCTATATTTACTCTCCATTGTGCATTGCAATATAATATAAGAAGTATGACCACCCTTTCTACCACCGGATACTTTTGATGATGATATGCTAAAAGCAAAACCTGCTGCCTTGGCACCTTCCTGCGCTGCTTCTTTAAAGCTTTCTACTGTTGGGAATTCATCACCAACTTCTGGAATTTGTGGCTGTGGTTGCGACATTTATAAGATAAGTTTTTTTAAAAAAATTTGATCAGTTTATATGAAGAATTAAATAGTTAATACAACAGTATTTTTTTATTAAATGCTATTAAGAAATCTTCCTTTTATTACAAATTAATGACTTTTTATAAGTCATAGCTAGATGGTTTATAAAGTAACGCTGAATATAAAACTTGAAATATTTAAAAGAAAACCAGTGAGGCAATAATATTTTTTTATTTTTCATTTTTTATAATATGATTATGAAACCAAACTAACAGCTTTTTTTTTTTGCTCCAACTTTCCTTACAAGCACAATAATAAGACATAACCAACTGGATTTTTTTTTTATTTCTTTGCGATTGTATATAATTAATCTTTTCTTGGTGATATTATGTATTGGTAATACGTACTCTTATGCAGGTTTTATAACGATCTTCAATTTAGGATGTTGATCATGATTTTTGAATTACAGTCTAATGAATAATTACAATTATTTAAGGTAATTTTTCCTTTTTTTTTTAAGCCGGTTTCTCTAGCATGATTACTGAAATCATTTATGCATTTAATGTTTAAAACTTAATGAAATATATATTTAAAATAGAATCATCCTGATTTATATTCAGAGCTAGATAATTTTAGGCAAGATTTTTTTATAACTTGTTTAATGTTTCTCGAAGACTATTTACTATACAAAATAAAGTAATACTAAAAAAATAAAAAAGATCTTTTATTGAGAATTGTTGATGTAATGTATTGAAAAGTAATTAATTTTTGAATTTTATGCATGAATATAGTCTAAAATTTTGCAGAATTTGACCCAGCCAGGTATGAGAACCAATTTATTAAATTTGTATAGCCTTATGATATTTATATGTTCAATATAGCAATAATTATATTATGTCTAAAGTTTCATGATTTCCAAATATCACATGATCATATTTGTCTCTAAGATTTGTTTGTAGATCCTCCGCTATGGACACATACCAATTCATGTGACTTTGCACGTACCAAATATCACAAATTTTTCTTAAGTTTTGAACAAATTTTTTCAACAACTGTCTGATGGAATTTGATAAAAATTTTTTTAAATAAAATTATACAAATTAGCAGAATTTATTTAAAAAAAGTATTATCGAATTCTATTGAGTAGTTGTTGAGAAATTTTTATTCAAAGTTAGAAAAAATTTTTGTAGCCTAAAAAAATAGCTATAATATAAATTTTCTAAACTTTGAACGAAAATTTCTCAAACAATTATCAGATAGAATTCAATAAATTTTTTTTAAAATGAATTTTATAAAATATTAGAATTTATTTAAAAAAATTTTTATCGAATTCTATCAGATAGTTGTTG